TGTCTCAAAAAAAAAAAAAAAAAATAAACAGGAGAAAACAAGAAAGCAAAATATCTAAACTGGGAAAAGGAATCTTATTTCTACCAAGTTCCAGCTACGTTACTTCTAATCCTATTCACACACCAAGTGAAGGCCAAGGTGATGCTCTCAGGGGCCTGCACCTTCTTTTCCTGCGTTGCCATCACCGGACTTCCCTCCAGTCCCTTCCCCTAGATGGTCCTTCAAGCAAAACTCATCTGAGAGAGCAAAGGGGAGATCTAGAGCAAACGGTTTTGGGCCTGAACCCAACCCACCCCTCAGGGGCCTCAGGAGCCTCAATCTCCTCTGGGAACGATAAGACCAGATGACCTACCTCTGAAGATGGTAAGGGAATTAAATGAAAAGACTTCTGTGAACAGCCTAACATGTATTTGGTGCGTTGAAATTCTTGGTAATTATGTCATCATCTCTTTGAAACATTCCTGCAGCCTCAGCCAGAGCTGTCTTGCTTCCTCAGCACTCTGGGCGTATTTTTGTGATACGATTTATTGACACATTATAGCAGACCAGGAGCACTTTAGAGAAAGCATTTGTATTTTCAGGATCTACATGGGCTCTGGGAGCATGGGAAATGCTCAGTGAATTGATGGACTAACCTGGATACTTTTATTAAAGAACTTACACTACTGTGGGGATTGTACACTATGCTAACTCCTTGACCAGACTTTTGGGTGTTCTTACAAACCACAGAAAAACGCCAAGGCTGACTATGCACACCCAGTTAATATTCACTGAACAGCAATGTGGTTTATTATTTGACCATTATCAAGACGCATTCTTGCAATGCTCAAGCATATTTATACTTCTGATATCCTTTCCTAGTATGATGCTTGGTTCCACAGAATCCAAGTGTCATATAAAATGGATTAGTTACTGAAAAAGTGTTAATATTTATACTGTAAAAACTTTACAACTGTTACAAGTAAGTGACCTATTTGTACGTTAATCTAGTTAAATAAAAATAAACAGGGTCTCAAATTGTTCCCAGCACTACAGAAAGACAGAAAAGCCTCAAAAGTACAGGTTCAAGTTAGGACTGCTCTAATTTAGTTTCAACATACAATGACATTTTAGAGCAGAAAGAATCCTGAAAGCCAACCTCTTTGCTTTAGGTAAGATGAAGAAACTGAAGTTCAAGCAGGTAACTAAACTTGCTTAAGATTGTGCAAACCAGAGAGAGAGAACAGAGGAGAGGCAAGCCCTGGGCACTAGCGTCAAAGACCAGGCGGCAGCCAGAAACCTCACTCGTCAGCTGCGAAAATGCAGCCGCTCATTTCTGTTTCTACTTCCTTGTTTTCAAAGTAGGACTGAGAAACAAATTACATTTAAATATATTTTACATTTAGGTTTCAAGAACCCTTGACTGTCATATATATCACCACTGATCACACTGAAACTTCAAGTTTGACTCTCTGGAATCAGACCCAGTTGACTAATTTCATTACATGGGCACTTGAGCAGGAAAGTACATACAGAGGAAACTGGGAAGAGGGATAAAAACCAGACAGCCAAAAGATAACTCATTTATATTTTTTCCTTGAAATTATAATAATTTATTTAAGTCAATATATCCAATGTATTATCATTCAATGTGATCAGTATCTTTTTTCTTCTCTTTAGGTTGCTTCAAATGTTTCTATTTTTATTTCAGAGTATTATAGGAGCACACATACTTTGTTTATATTATTTTCATTTGTACATTTTAAGTCAAGGCTATCAGTGTTCCTTTCACTCAGAATATATGTATTACACTAGTTAGGTGTGAGAAATCATTTAATCATCTGAAGCTATTTAAGCTTCCTTTGGAGAGCCGGTAGGGCTTATTAAATTAGATCTAGGCATATGGCATCATGTCTAAATATATATCGCATGTTTTCAATTTTTTTCCAAACATAGATTAACATTCTTTGATACCTGCCTTGAATCATAAACTGGGAACACTGAGAAAAAACACTAGTAATTTCAGAAAATAAACTGTTTTGAACATAATTCTGGAAAAAGAATCCTTAAAGATTCTTATGAAAGTCACAAATTTTATCTCCTTTAAGCCACATTGATGTAACTACAGACTTATCGAGCACTCGCTCCCAGAGTCTCTTACAGCGCCAGCTGCATACTCTTTTTCACTCTTTCCAGCACAATCTCCCGTTAAGTACATTAAAACTTGCTTTTAGGCTGAGCGTAGTGGCTTACTACGCCTGTAAGCCTAAAACTCTAGGAGGCTGAGGCAGGTGAGCTGCTTGAGCTCAGGAGTTTGAGATCAGCCTGAGCAAGAGTGAGACCCCATCTCTATTAAAATAGAAAAAATTAGCTGGGCATTGTGGCAGACACCTGCAGTTCCAGCTACTTGGGGAGCTGAGGCATGAGGATCTTTTGAGCCCCAAAGTTTGAGGTTGCTGTGAGCTATGATGATGCCACAGCACTCTATCCAGGGCAACTGAGTAAAACGCTTTCTCAAACAAAACAAAACAAACAAACACCTTTTTTTTTAATCTAAGAGAAATCCAAGTGCAAACAAAGATCTTAAGCATGTTAGGCACAGTCGCTGGGAATATGTGCTCTGGAGGCTGAGGGACTGGAACACCGACTGGAAACACCACTGGTGTGAACCTGGGGGTCACTAAGCTCTCTAGGTATTAGTTTTTCCCATAATAAAACAGGGACTCTATGAGGATTACATGAGAATGCAAACAAACCACTATGTACAATGCCCGGTCCCCGAGGACTGACAAAACAGTAAACCATTTAAAAGAGTTTTAATATTATCATTTTTAGCTTTCTGTGATATTAGCAATGAACTCTTAATACGTCAGAGTTGATAAAGGTAAAGTAATAAAAACATAGAATAAATATTTCACTTATTAACCTCGTAAAACAAAAATTATTTTTAAATAAAAAAATACACTTCTCAGCTAAGACGCAAATGAAAAAGACCAAATCATACCCAAGCCCTAGGAGATCACCGCAAAGAGACAAAGCTAACTTCTCTCTGTTTTATCTCTACTCTACACACAGGTTTCGGATCCCCCTCCTGCCTGTAAACTTACTTGTTAAGTGGCAGCTTCATGGAAGACGCACCAGGGCGAATGTTCCCTCGCTGACTGCCTCCTGCTTCAGAAGATTCTGAATCCTTAAAGTAAGGAGAGGAGGACTTGGGGTCGTCCCAGTCTTCATCCCAGTCATCATCATCACCAGTTGCTAGAGGTGAAAACAGATCATCATCAGTAAAAAAGGAAAGATTTAAAAAAGGAAACTGCTTAATTTCCTGATAGTAACTATTACTGGGCTAATCCATACTTTAAAAAATGGGGGAAAGGGTATAGTATAGGAGTACAATACAGACAGTAAGAGTACAGTCAATTTTAAGGCTTGAACTATGGATTCTTTTCCTGCAAAAGACACATGAGAAACAACTCAGAGAGGCTGTCAGAACCGCTGAGTTTTGTCAAGGGCACTGAGAAGACACAGTGGGAAAGGACAGTCTCTTCAGTAAATGGTGGTGGGAAAATCACCCACATACAAAGAATAAAACGGGACCCTAATGTTGTATCATATGCAAAAACTAACTCGAAATAGATTAAAGACCTAATTTAAGACCTGAAATCATAAAACTCCTAGAAGGAACCAAGAGAAAAAGCTCCTTGACACTGGCCTTGGCAATGATTTTTTGAACATCATACCAAAAACTCAGGCAACAACAACAAAAATAACAATGGGACTACATCAAACTAAAAAGCTTCCATACAGCAATGGAAACAATCAACAAAATGAAAAGACAGCCTACAGACTGGGAGAAAGTATCTGTTAACTGTATGTCTGATAAGGGGTTAATATCCAAGATATATAAGGAAATCACATAACTCAATAGCAAAAAACCACAGATCAATTAAAAATTGACAAAGAACCTGAATAAATATTTTACCAAAGAAGACACAATGGCCAACAGGTATTTGAAAAGGTGCTTATCATCACTAATCATTAGGGAAGCACAAAGGAAAGCGGGAGGAACTATCACCTCCCACCTGTGAAGATGCTCGCATCAAACAGCAAGCGGTAACGTGTGCGGCAGAGAAAAGGGGACCCTGGCATGCTTTTGATGGGAATGTAAATTGGTAAAGCCATTATGGAAAGCAATGTGGAAGCCCCCCTCCCCCCCAAAATAAAACTAGAACTACCAGCTGACCCAATAACCCCTGTTCTGGGTTTATACAGCCGTGCTCCCAGGTCCAAACGCAGCATTGTTTGCAACAGCTGAGACGTGGAATCAACCTAAGTGTTGACGGGGGAGTGAATATAGAAACTGTACGTGCACGAAGATGGGTACTACTCAGGACTAAAAAGAGAGCCTGCCATCTGGGGCAACATGGGCGAAACTGGAGAACAGTTTAAAAATAAGCCAGACAGAGAAGGAAAAAATACCACATTTCTCACTTATATGAGGAATTGTAAAAAAGTAGAACTTACAGAAGCAAATAATAGAATAGCGGTTACCAGGGGCAGAGAAAGGGGAGACTGGGGAGATGCAGGCCAAAGGGCTCCAAGTCGCAGTTATGCAGAACGAGGAAGTCTGGAGAGGCCTGCAGTTCACAATGCCGTAATGCTGCCTCGGGACTGGAGATGCTCAGAGAACAGATGCAGCTGCTCTTACCGCCCCCCCCACACACACACAGAGTTGGCGTATGTATGTCAACTGCTTGACTGCAGTAATCATTTCGCTGTGCCTATTTACATTACACCATCATACTGTACATTTTAAATACACACTTTTTATTTAAAAGGGCTGTCAGCCCAAATAATTTCAGATAAATGCAGACTATAAAAATGTTAATGTTGGGGTGGTGCCTGCGGCTCAAAGGAGGAGGGCTCCAGCCCCATTTGCTGGAGGTAGGTGGTGGGTTCAAACCCAGCCCTGCCCATAAACTGCAAAAAAAAAAGTTAATGTTACATGAGAAAAGGCCTTCTAGAGAGCTTTACCCTGACAAATCTAGACTTACAAACTTACTACTAAGCAGAACAAATTCCCCTTTAAATCGAGAAGCTTGGGGAGGACAAAAGGGATGACAGATCTTCGAAAAGCAATTGCTGGACCTTAGTAAGAAGGAGAGAGAAGGACAACGGGGGAACACAGGAAAGCAGGGCTGGGGGGAGGAAGAAAAGGGGAAAGAGAAACCTCAGCGCAAAGAACTAAGCCATCAGAAAGACCTGGGCCACGTTGTCAGGATCTGGACGTTGGCAGCCTCACCTCCTGTTCCCATGAACCCACAACTTCTGGGCCCTCTGGACTGCCAGCTCCTGCCTATGGCTGTTAGCTCTGAGCCAGCACCTGCGCTCTCATCTGGCTCTGCGCACGACGTCTGTGCCATTTACAACAGACATTCACTCGGTGGCCCTATGCGCTCACAGAGGAGACAGGATCCAGGAATCATAAAAACATAACAGGCAGAATAAATACCCTTTTGTTTGATTTCAAAACAGACATAAATACCCTTTCATTCCTGAAATAGTCGCCTTCTATAACTTTCTCTTCTGCCTTAGTATTTTTATTAGCCCAGAAGTCAAACAGTTAAACAAATGTGTCAGTTGCTGAGGTGCTACAGTGAGAAGGTGACATAGAATGGAGACTGCCAGTGTGTCTCTGCAAGTATGGGGATCAGAACACCAGCTGAGCTTCCCTGCAAAAGCAGCATCCAAGGGGAGGCAGGCGGGCGCAGGGGCTGCCCCCTGAGAGACGGTGCCTTCCAGGCTCCGCAGCTCCCACCACTCGCTCTGCTCTTCTGCTCTTGATCTGGTCCCTTCCAGCACCTGGATCTGTGACTCCTAGACAGGTAACTGCAACTATACTGAAGCGTGTAACGAATGACGATTTACATTCGGATCCCAGTTTGCTATTAGTGAGTAAAAGCAAACGGGAATAGTTCTTCTGAACAATATCTCTTTTCAACACAATGGCCAATATGATACTGTGAAAGAAGAATTAGATATTTGGGCTCAGTGTCCGTAGCACAGGGGTTACGGCACCGGCCACATCCCTGAGGATGGCAGGTTCAAACCCAGCCCGGGCCTGCTAAACAACAACAAAGAATTAGGTATTTATTCTCTGCCCCCAGTTCCTGGCACAGAGCCCCTAAGACCCTTGTAATTTCCCAAGCCATAGGGGTGCTGGGTACATCTTTGGTTCTCATATTTGGTCTCTGACCCCAGTTCATAATCGGAACGCCTAATCTGTAGAATGTTCTGGGTGACAGGAGTATCTTTTGTTCTAAGGAAGTGACTCTTGATGGGCTTGTAGATGATGGCTGGTCACCAGAAAGACCAAGCCATGATTAGAAGCTTGGAACTTTCAGCCCCAGCCCCATCCTCAGGAAGAGAAGAGGGGCTGAAGACTGAGTTAGTAATGGATCCTGCCTCTGTGATAAAGCTGCCATAACAGCAGGGTCAGGCAGTTTCTGGGCTGGTGACTGTGTGGAGGTGCTGGAGGGTGGCGGTCCTTGGAGAAGGTAGGGAAGCTCCATCCCCTTCCCAATACCTTGCCCTGTGCATTTGTTCATTTGGCTGTTTATTTGTATCCTTTAAATTATCCTTTGTAAGAAATTGGCAATATTAAGTGAAGTGTGTCCCTGAGTTCTGTAAGCTACTCTAGCAAATAAATTGAACCCAAAAGGGGTGTTATGGGGACGCCCTGGATCTGACCCTAGGTAGGCAGTGAAGGATGAAGACCCCCCAGCAGGCCTCTGCTGGAGAACAGCCTGATCTGCAGGGACAACTCTCCCCACCTGGTGTTTTGGTCACAGAAGTGTTCTGTGTTGTGCTGAGTGTGGAGTAGCAAACACCACTGGTTCTTCCCTGTCTCTCACACCTGTCACTTACGGGTGGGCGGGGCAGGAGCCCTCTCCTCACCTGGACCCTGGTAGGCCTGGGGGTGGCCGAAGGCAGCGTCCCAGTTGTTGGGAGTGTTCTTCTGGGCACCAGCCCCGTCTGGCTTGGCCACCCAGCCATCTGAGCTCTCCCAGTTCCCAGATTTGGAGGCACTCCAGGCTGACCAGGGGTCGCTGCTACTGCCGACCTGTTGGGTGGGGGAAGGAAAAGGAATGTTGGTGACTTCTGGAAACCGTGATCCAATTCAGCTATTAATTGGCATAGTTATTTAATACAATCGAAGTGTGAAGAAAAACAAAAGCATTTAAAACAATTTTAAATTTAAACAATTTTTCCCAAACATACAGAAAGGACAAAAAGCACATCAACTTCATTTCACTGTTACTATTTTGTCCTGTCTGGTTAGGAACTTTGAAAACGGTAACAAAGGACACAGCTAAGACCCTCTCTCTGCTTCTACTAACTACTTTTAGGAGCTATGTATTCATTCCCACATGTTTTCAAACTTCCACTGCATATGACACATTCATAAACAACTGTTTTATATCTTTAAAGTGACCTGAACAATGTCACACTATACATATCTCTTTGCAAGTTGTTTTTTCACTCAAGACTGTTTTTGAGATCATACAAATTGATAAGAACTTGTTTCGTCGACCTTAACTGCTTCAGGGCCATCTGTTGTATTTTAAAGTAGATTTTTGTTTTTATTTGAAAATACATACTCAGTTAAAAAAAAAAATAGAATAAGAGGATATGCAATTTAAAAAATATGCCCACTCCCTCAGGAGGTTAGTCACTTTCTCAAAGACAACTACGACTGTTAAAAGACAAAAATTTCTTTATTTTTTTTTTTTTTTTTGAGACAGAGCCTCAAGCTATCCCCCTGGGTAGAGTGCCATGGCATTACAGCTCACAGCAACCTCCAACTCCTGGGCTCAAGCGAGTCTCCTGCCTCCGCCTCCCAAGTAGCTGGGACCACAGGCGCCCGCCACAACGCCCGGCTATTTTTTGGTTGCAGCCGTCATTGTTGTTTGGCGGGTCCAGGCTGGGGATTCGAACCCGCCACCTTAGGTGTACGTGGCTGGCGCCTTAGCCAGTTGAGCTATAGGCGCCGAGCCCAAAAGACACAAATTTTCAACAAATTTAGCTATAGCCATCTAACTGGCTTTTGTTCATGCTTCCTGAATCTGGGCAGCCTCCATTCTGCAAACCAAGATGAGCTTCCACTGGGCAACAGCAGAACACTGGGTTTTATAAGGCGGGAATAAGGAAAAAGAACAACAGGAAAAAAGCTGATTGGTTAACATCAGGTTACTGCAGGTTACTTTTTGGTAAGGGTTAAGGCAGAGGGGAATTCCTTGTCATGCTGACTCAGGTAGACTGGAATGTCCTGTTTTCAGCAAAAAATGGGTCTGTTTCGGGGCCTGTTTGCTTCCTTGAGCCTTCAGTGGATTACATGGCACTTACAGGAGTGACTGCACTCTGGTTTGCTCTGGTGTGTGGCGCTAGTGCAGGAGCTCCAAAACACGGTCTCCCCAAATCTTCGGGAACGTCACTCATAAACTTCTCATACGTGCTTAACTGAAACATCCCACGCACAGAGATCCTTTCTGTTTTTAAACATGTGTGTGGGCCCAAATTATATTTTCTGCTCTGTACTTTTTTTTTCCTCCTAAGAGTGTAAAACATTTTCCAAGGTACGTCAGTACATACGGACGTTCTTTTACATGTTTCCATAGAATTCCATTATATTTATTTCTCATAATTGAACCTGCATATGCTAATGTTAATATTTCCTATTTTTAGTATTTTAGAACTGTAGACAATACTGCAATCTGAAAGATTATGTGTGAAATTTCTGTGTGAAATTCCCAGAAGAAAAATTGCTGGGTTAAAGAGATCATGTATTTAGAACTGACAGATTTCGTCAAGCTGCTTTTCAGAGGTTTTAGTTACATTCCTGCAATACATGCTCAGGGGTTTCACCTTGCATAAAAAGGAGCTTTTTGTTCTAAAATTGTTTTTAAAATATTTTTTCTCCCATCATGCCTTTGAGTGATTTTATAGTTTGATGATTAATACTGTAAATAACATTTTGGAACAGGCAATACATGGCACCCAATCTCAAGGAACATTGTGACAGGAGTACAGGAACCCTACCGCCACGTCCATCCCCACCCCGAGGCAAGCACGGTTGGGGGCAGGGGTTGGTTTTTTGTTAGTTTGATTTTTTTTTTTTTGACATTTAAATCTATCTGGAACTTAACTTGGTATAAGAAATAATACTTCTTGGCTCGGCGCCTATAGCTCAACCGGCTAAGGCGCCAGCCACGTACACCTAAGGTGGCGGGTTCGAATCCCCAGCCCG